TCATGGTCATGCTTGTCCAGGGCCTGTTGCCCGTGGCCGCATGCCCATAACAACCTCTTTCCACATACTTTCATGTCATGTATTTAGTTTTCCTTGTACTTTTGGTAGCGAGTGACTCCTCGCCACTTTGCATGTTCACACCTGCCAAGGGCAAAATGCTTTATAATCTACCTTGGGGGGTACACCTAGTCTCCTCCCTACATTGCGTTGTATTCTTGTCTTGCCGCTAATCTATTATCTTGCATTCAAGCTTACAACAACTTCCAAAATGCTTACAAACGTTTTCCAAAACCTTTTTCTCTAACCCCGTTTTCCAAACCGTTTTCTCGAGAACGGGGGTGGAGGTTGCGACATATAGCCTTTGTGCCACCGGCTATTCATTTCCGCATTGGCTGACTTGCTAGAGGGTGAAAGCAAGTTCCGAACAATCGCTTCCTGAGTCCCATGAAAGTGTGATTGTGACACTAAGCACCAAGGTTGGATGTCTGAACTGAATCTTGTCTATGGCGTTGACACTGCCCAACTAGAGACAAATGGAAGATTTTGCATTTCTTGAGGATTTGAAATATTTAAATTATTTTTAAATATAGCCTCAGTTGAAAAGATGTTAGTTTAAATTTGTTAAATCACCATATAACTCGAAAACTTAAATTGGTGAGTTACGATAAATTAATCATTTATCAATACTTTAACACTCCCCTCCCCTTGTGGGCTTGAAAATTTATACAAGGCCCAACAAGTGGTTATCAATATTAGTTGTGGAGGAAATGACATTATAGGAGTTTGGATACAAGATCTCCTACTCTGATACCATGTTAGATTACATTGTGAGTTCAAACTGATTGATTATGGTAAATTTAGTCATTTATCAAGTCTACAAAAATTTTTATATGTTAACTTTTTATATTTCCTTAAATTGACGTCAGTCCTCTGTTCACCTGTTAGTTCTGATAATCTTGTGGTATACTTTGTAAATTTATATTTATCTTTGTCACATTGAAAAATGTTTGCAGGTATGGATCAATTTATTGGTAAAGGTAGATTTCTAGCAACGGCTGTCATGTTTTTGGAGTATGGATTGGCCATTGCATCATCAACATATTGCCTTACATTTTTCTTTTTGGACCATACCGTGGCCCAGGTCGAAGAAAATTCACTCTTTTGCCGTATCTAAAAATATATGATATGAACTATCATTATTACTAATGCTGTCTCATCTTCTCTGCAGAACGTGGTTCTCTCAGTCCACTTTTTCACTGGACTCATTCTTATGGTTATTTCATTTATTATGGGGCTGATTGAAGCAACGGCAAAAACAAATTCTCTTTTTAAGGTTGATTCTCTTTATACATTTGTTATTGCCATTGATTGAAGTTGATTGGTTTACAAGTCAATATTATTGTAAATGGTTTTCTCGTCTTCTGTTGTATCTAGAGATATTTTCTTTCATGGTTCTTGATAAGAAATTAAGAGTACTTAAATTTTTGTATGCGATCAAGTGGTAGATCCTAAATTCAAATTAGAAGCTTTAATTAGTATTTTAAGATATTAGGCGTTTCGTTCCTCAATGTTTTGTTCTCTTGTAATATTTGAAGATTTGTTCTTTATTTGGCTATTTAGTCCTTTTTCTCTTTTGTAGTTTGTATCCTTTAACTTTTTTCTTCATTTTCATCCATTTTATCTCTTATTCAAAAAATTATTCAATTAATGTTTAATTTGTCATATTAATTTAAAGTTTCAAATCTCATTTTGGTACCTTAACTCTTGGAATATCGATTTTAGTTTCTGAACTTTCAAAAGGTATCTATTTTTGGTCTCTGTGATACTCGAGTAGATAGGAGGAGTACATGAATGAACCAATGCTACATCTAAATGAGAGGGATCTTGAGATCATACAAGCATGGTTAAGAAAGGCTTAAAAGAATAAATGAGAGGGATCTTGAGATCATACCAGCATGGTTAAGAAAGGCTTAAAAGAATATTGATTGTAACTACTTATACCAACAAGGCTTACTTTCCTTTTCGGTAGCTCAATCATAACTCATAAGAAAATTCAAAGTTAAGTATGTTGACTTGGAGCCATCTTTAGGTTGGAGGAATTTTTTGAAGAAGCATGTGAGTAAAGACAAATCATGCTGAAAGGACCTATCAAGGTCTTTTGGAACAGTCTCCACTCTTTTAAGCAACTCAAGTCAAGTGGGGATGTAAGGATGGGAGATTTAATACTTAGCAAATATGGATTTGAGATTTAATTTCATAATTCAGAGAGATTTATCCACGGTCAGTCTTTGCTATAGAAACCACGTAGTCTAATTTGTAGATAGGAAAAAGTAACTTCGAACTATATCTTTCTCCATTGAATCAGCTAACCGTGCCATCACCTTAGTCTTTCCAAATTTAATATCTCGATTTTGTGCACATCTGTGACCGATTATCAACGGGAATTTTTACTTTTTCTCACATTGCTGTTGATTTTCAACCGTCGTGTACAACTGTGGCAGTTAAACTGACAGTGTAGCATCTTGATGCAGATCTGCTTATCTCAGTTCTTTTTTCCTCAGAAAATTTGTTCTCTCATCACCAAGCATGGATTTAGCATTAATTTTTTCTCACTTAATCGGGTATTTGTGCAGAAATTCTTCAGAATATCACCTGGCTTTTGCTTTGCTGATGGACTTGCCTCATTGGCTCTTCTTCGGCAGGGGATGAAAGATAAAACAAGTGATGGGGTATATGATTGGAATGTTACGGGTGCCTCGATGTGTTATCTTGCAGTTCAGGTTTGTGTATCCCTGGCACTGATTTGTATTACGACTAATTACAACTTTATGGATGCAGCTTTTGGGGAATATATTTGATTTTCATATTCATGGGAAATGTGGTTGATGTTACCTCTAGAGGCTTTTTTATTGTAGATTGTGTTGGATGAGCATTGCAAACAAATACTTAATCAAATAACTGAGGGCCTGTTAATTGGAGAGAGTAAAAAATATACTCCTTGATTCAAACATGTAACTTAGGTCTTCTTATATAGGAGAATGATCTACTACAAACAAGGAAAGTAATAAACACCATAAAGACTGAATATCAACAATAAAGACTAAATATTGACGACTAATATTGACAACTAATATTGACACAAATATTAATAAATCCAACACTCCCCCTCAAGCTGGTTTGAAGATGTCGTCCATAGCCAGCTTGCTGATTAAATTGTCGAATTGTTTCTTTGGAAGTCCCTTGGTTAAAACATCGGCAATTTGCTCTGTTGTCGGAAGATAAGGGATACATATTGTACCTGCATCAATCTTCTCTTTAATAAAATGTTTGTCAACCTCGATATGTTTGGTTCGGTCATGTAGCACTGGGTTATGAGCTATAGATATGGCAGACTTATTGTCACAATAAATTCGTATAGGTGTCGGCTGAGGAATCTTCAATTCTTCAAGTATCCTTTTGATCCATATACCTTCACAAATTCCATGAGTCAATGCTCTAAACTCTGCTTCAGCACTGCTCCTGGCCATTGCATTTTGTTTTTTGCTTCTCCATGTAACTAGGTTTCCTCCAACAAAGGAACAGTAACCAGAAGTAGACCTTCTGTCGGTAGTACTTTCAGCCCAATCTGCATCAGTATAAACTTCTACTTGGAAGTGGTTATTCTTTTCGAATAAAATACCTTTTCCAGGAGTTCCCTTCAAATATCTCAAGATTCTGTAGACAGCTTCAAAATGAGTTGGTCCAGGTGCATGCATGAATTGACTTACCATACTTACAGCAAATGCAATATCCGGTCGTGTATGTGACAGATAAATTAATCTTCCCACGAGTCTCTGGTATTGCTCTCTATCCTTTATTTCTTTTGCATTTGCTGCTTGTAATTTCAAGTCAGGTTCAATAGGAGTTTCTGCGATCTTGCAACCAAGCAATCCTGTTTCTCCAAGTAAGTCAAGAACATATTTTCTTTGATTAACGAATATACCTTTCTTCGATCTTGCGAATTC